CATTTTAGGCTTTTAGGCAAAAACAAAGGGGTGTCAAACGCTTTATTTTTTTAAGTTTAGGATTAATTTCAAGGTCCCAAACAAATGCCTAAATTAGAAACAAAAAGGCATTTTGCCTAAAATCCGGTCCTTGTTAAATAACCGTTCAATGTGTCAGATGACAAATCAACTTGGAGAAAACTGACTGTTATACCAAAAATGAACTTGAGCTAAAGCTATAGCTTACAAGCATAAGAAAACTGAGGGTTAAAATACGTACTTTTTCGTAATGATTATAATCAGGTAATTACCTACCAGAGTTCAGATTTTTTTAGGAATTTCTACGACGTAATAAGTCGTAGAAGCGAAAATAATCATAAATATAAATTTTGACACGGGTGTTTGTTTTGAGAGCCATTTTGTCAATTTTTATTTTATTGTTTTAAAATTAATTAACACAATAAAGTAGATAAATAAAGCTACAAAATATTGTAAGTTTGATTAAAATAGGACAAAAATTGTTCGCGAAACAGCACTTTGAAGATTGATTTTTACTAAAAAAAGCAATTTAATTTCGTTAAAAATAAGAGACTAACATTGTAAATGTGTATAATTTATCTATTTTTTTTTAGTTAAATTAGGCCTTATAGCTTCATGGCCAATGCTCCTTGGTAATAAATTTGATTAAGAAAATGTCTACATACAAACATGTATGAAGATTAAAAGTACCCAACCAAAGATTGTTGTTGTAATGTATCTTTCCAAGAAATGAAACGAATTTACGATGATAGATGTGACAGAAGATTTTAAGAAATAGCCTGCTAAAAATTAATTAAAATCTGACACAAATTTTATACCAAATTTTTTGTTTTTACTTTTAATTACTTGTCATCCTACGCATGATTCAAACATGTATTTAACTTTAAGAATTTGCCCTTGTGGATTGAATTGGTTAGCTTTAATAGTTTTTTGCATCATTGTTAAATGTGTTAATGTGTAAAATTTGTACATATTTTACTACAATCAATATTTATTTACCACCTTTTTACATCCATGTTGAAAACTATCCATATTTATATTACAGGAATTGAAAAATGTATTCAAATGGTAAAAGAACCGGGCGAAGTAACGGTCCAATAATGGCGAATGCAAGTTTTTAAACACTATCGACCAAATTAACTTTTAGTGGAAAGATGCGGCATTATCAGCATATCACAGCCGTTAGATGGAAAATTTACGACTATTGGCAGCAATGGCAGACGTGACTACAGCACACCTTCGAAGATATTACACGAGGCCTCAACTCAATATCAACACCCCTCCGATAATAAAATGAAAAATATATGCCTTCTCTGATCAGAATTGATGCACATTTGCATATTACTTTTGGAAATTTACACGCCATGCGAAACTGGAATTTACTTATCAATGCAAATTCTATCTTTTTAAGAGCTTTCTAATAAATATTCTATTTTATTACCTATCAGACTTTTAGAAAAGTTGATTTTTTAAAATTATATACTTTATTGTTATTATTAATATTAAGTATATAAGGGTGATTAAAAAAATCTACAATTTTTTTTGTCTTATGATATCAAAAAATTTGTTGCTGGGTACCTACCTCAAAAGAAGACTATCTACGTATAAGCTTTTACTTCCTCATCTTCATTGCAATGTTCCATTTTAACATTTGTCCGATGAAAAACATTTGGTATCTCACTAATTAGAGAATATAAAGCTAACCCAATTTATTATTTAATAGGGATGCTCTACAAAAAGGTATTCTATGTTTTTTTCGAAAACCTATCCATTCAAAATATATCTTAGGTCTGTTTAAAAAGTTCTGACCGGAATACTTTTTTTTTAATTATAATAAGAACACAAATTATAAAGATTTAAAAAATTAACAGGTAACATTAATCTTTTTTAAAGGTATAAGTTGAACTTTATATTTGAAACGCTTACATTTATTAAAAAAACCAAGGAAAACTTTTTTCACAAAAATATTTACTATTAATTTCAAAATCCTAACTATGCTGCGAGTTAAGTAGAAGTAGTTAAAATTAAAAAAAAAATGTTTTAAACTTTCTAAATTAATTATATTTCTTAATGTAACGTTATTGTCAAACACGCGTGACAATTGTTAGAAATTATATTTTACTGATAAATAATAATAAAAAGTGATTCTAAGAGCGAAGAAAATTCAGGCATTGAACATTTGTGAAAAATGGGGCGTTCCTCCATAAAACCAAAAAACTCAAAACATCGCTTTAAAAAACTTATACAACTTTCAAGAAGGGTTTTAAGAAAGCAAGGAAATTCCCTTTAAATAACTTAAACTAAAAAGTCCTGTTATGCAAACAAATATGCCATTTTGTTCAATGAAATGCAAAATTGAGGTATTGCAGTTGTTATTAATAATATGCCGACTTTCTGGGCAAATTATGCGTAATTTACTTACTGTTCAGATGACCGTAAGTGAATATAAGTTGAACTTTACTGCAATTAAAGTTTTTTTATATCGAATATTCCACTAATTACTTTATGGACCAATCAGAATTCAGAAAACGAGTGTTTTTTTCAGTTTTGCAGCGATAAAACTACTATTTAGGTGAAAATACAATTCATTATAATTAGAACCAATAAAATGCCAGTATTCCATGGTTACGCATTTTGACACTTTTCTTGATTTGACATTTGTTGACATTTAAATACTGTATTTGTTAAATGATTTAATGAATTATAAACTCTAAAAGATCGATGGATTGGTGTAAACGATAATAAAATTAAGGTAAGTTTGAATAAATAAGGTCTTTTTATATTTTAAAGCACATTTTAATTTCAAATGTCAAACTGACAATTCGTTAAATCCTAAAATTCATTATATTTTCTCACTAAATATAACTCCTGGTATGATTAATTATCGATGATATTTACTCATTGAAACCGAAGCAGCAAATCTGCAGCTCAATTCGAAAATATCATCGATGATAATCATACCACTTGTTATATTATGGGTGAAAAAACCACTCGTTTATAGGAGTTGCATAGCAACCAATTGGTTGCTATGCGAAAAATAATTGTCAATGTTGAAGAATGCTTAGAAAATGTTGCTATTTAAAGAAATTATATATATCTTATGATCTTATTAAATAAGAAAAGTAGAATTTTTTAACATCTTTTTAGGATTCCTGGGGGTCTGTGATTTAAAACTTTCAAGTTTTGGGACACCCTGTATAATGGAGTGTCAGGAAAAAATTATAATTCGAAGATAAATGATGAAGTATATAATTTAAAAGTTTTTACCCACAAATCCATCATCGAAGAATACTTATAAGTATATAGAGAAACAGTGTTTCTCAAATCTAATTTAGTCATTATAGATTACATGCAGCTTAAAATGGCGCTTAATTTAAAGCCACTCAGAAATAAATCAAACCCGGTTATTAAAATATGCATTTAAATAAAGATTAAGATGTTTTTATAATCTTAAGCATCTGACAAATTGTGTAATAATTTTGTTTTTAATAGATATAGAACATAAAATTGCGGCCAATCCTTTATCGATCGTTAAATCTGTAATTAGTTTTAATAGTCGGTACTTACTGAGACAAGCAGTTATTAAATTCAAATGAAATGATAAGAAATTAATACCTCAGCGTTACCCTTGCGGTAGTAAAAGGTTTCTTAGGATAGGAACAGGTGCCTATTTTTTTTCTATAGTTTGCGGTTAGTCGAAGTATCAAGGTGTCAAAATACAGTCGGTTCCTTAAAACACAGGAAACTGTTATTACCAAATAAATTAAAAATAAATGGCATATTAATTAAAATTGGGTTATCGTATTATCTATATTTAAAATAAAAATTATCCAAAAGAAATTAACCATGCAATTGAGATAATTAAGTTTAAAATAAATATAGATTATTTTTTAATGTTTCTAAAAACCAATAAAAACGTTGAGTATTGAAAAGTTGACTAAATTTTTATCTACATTGTTGTTTAAAGCTTGATGTTCACGAAACCAACAGAATATTCTGTACACAGTATAAAATATTTCTGTGTATATGGACTACTCAAAAATATTAAGTGGTTATTTTAAATTGCGGTAAAACTCATTCGTCATGTGTTGACAGCTCCACAAATTGTGGAATAAAAGTCACGTCACCATTCGCTAACGGCAAGGGGGCATATGCATGGTATTTTAATTTAAGACCATGGTTTTTAAATTAAAATTCAGTGGTCTGGTGAAGTGGTGCAATGTGACAGTAGATGCAACTTATGTTTGCGATGTTTTTTTACCTGTTATTTTTAAGTGAAATATGAAATTTAGTAATATTTTAAGTTTTTTGAGCTAGTGAAAAATCATATTTAACTTATAAGCTAACTATGGTTTTGCACAAACTATATTACTATTTTCATTCAATTAAAAAAAAACTATTAACACTAAGAATACTTACACCTAAGTAGTGTTAATATATTTTTTTAATTTTATGACAAAGCCTATTTGTATTTATATCTAATATTTGTAAGTAATATAAAATATACTTTATTTTACATTACATGCTGTGTTTAATATTAAAACACCCACCATTTTTAACACCTATACGTAACACCTACCTGTGTAGTAAATTACACCAAATTTGGCATTTTCTACTCTTGAATGGAGTTCTTTTACCAATAGTGCGTGTTGCTTTTACTGTAGAGTGTATTATATGATTTTTTTACGAGTTTTTTGTACGAATAGTACGTGTAGATTTTTAACCAAATAAAAAAGGTAAAATTTACCAAATTGTATGTGGTTAGATATACCATTTCTAGTGTGGACCTATATAGACCACTTTTGGTGTTGTTTTTTACCAGAAATTTTATACTGTGTAGGTTTAAAAAATAGAGCTTTTAATAACAATGCAAAGATGGAACCTTCAAAAATCAGTTCTTTGTAGGGCAACAATGTAGGGATAGTTCATATTCATATTATAAATTTGGTATTATACAAGGGGATTTAAAAAAAGAAATATCTACTTTTGAAATCTTTTGACATTGTATTTTTAATTTGTAAAAGTGTCAACTTAAAATAGTATTTTGATTATTCTTTAATTTATATTTTACACTAAATTAAAGTAAATATGGAAAGAATATACAACTTCTTCATGGTAAAATATTACAATGCACATCATTCCATTAAAACCAAACCAATATATCCTGTGTTAAATGTTTGTCCTGGAAGGTTGACCCGACACGAGAAACAAGATGATTCAATAGGCAAATTTAAGTTATCCACGATAAATCCAAGAGAATCGCTATGGATTACCAACAAACTTAGTGAGACTGTGGATATTCTTGACTATAGTGAAGATAGTAATATAGAAAATCAAGAAATAATGTATGGAAATTTAGAGATTAAAATAATGAATGTAATGTTATCGGAAACTTGCATCCAACAACTGGCGAAGAGTTATGGCAAGCATTGTACGATTTTTTTTAAATGGAAGTTTCTCAATCAATCAAAAACGACAACTCCATATGAAAGCATACAAAATATTCAAGGCTTTATTATTAACTTTACTATAAGATACAAAGTTTTGCTGAATGGCGCGTTTTATAAGTTTTTGGTCAAAAGACTTCTTCCAGTGGAGTTATGCGCTTGTAATAAATACAAAGAAGATATAATAGGAGTTGGCCTTTATTCACTGCAACATTGCTTAGAGAATGTAGGAAATATGAAAGTCAGCAATCTTACAATAGATGATAGACACAACCAAATAGTATATGCCCAGTTAAAAATAGGATCTCAACTTGATGCTGATAATGAAATCGTTCAAATATTTAGGGCCAAATATAGAGAGACTGGTTATAAAGACAAAGCGAAAAATACAAATTTAGATTCATTGAAAATTAAACAGCAACTATATGAAGATGACATTGCGATTCATGATACATTAAATACAGTTTTGACCAGAAGCAACTGCTTGAAAATATCAAGATCTGAAATATCCAACGAACTTAGGGAAAGAGTGGAGTATCTACATCAGGAGTGCAACTGGAAGAGGACACTTCAGGAGCACGCCATTCTCAAAGGAGAAGACCCTTTTGCTGTAAATGATCAACAATGGCGTACTAAAGAAACGGAACATATCAAACTCAGAACGTTTTCACCTACATTAAAATCAGAAAACTGTGAACTAATAATTACAATTGAAACCGTCAGATTTAATACAAACTCATTTGTAATGCGCGATGATCACATAAATAAAATCTACGTCGAGTACGAATTTTTAAGCCATAAAGGCCAGGAATTCGAAACACCATACAGTATAAATAAATCAGAAAAAATATTTTTTAATTTCCAAAAGCGTTTCCCATTTCATATGGTAATAAATTCTTGCGATTGCAAACTATTAGCAGAATGTATAAAAACCGGAAAAAATATTAACTTTGCTGTAGTTGGCGAGCCTAAATACAAACCTGAAACTCCGACTTTATGTTGTATAAAATTAGCTTTTTGTAGCATTCCTTTATTGGATCTGGTAGAAGCTGTAGAAGATGAAGTAGTTTGGAAATGTGAACTTATCAATATCAGAAACTTATTGGATATCGTTGGCACTCTAAGCGTTAAGTTCCAAGGATTATTGTCCTTGAGGAGGACCGCTTTAAAAATGCTTGCACCTCCAGAATATGATTTAATCTAATAAAGCGTATATTTAATTTTGTTTTAATTATTTGCTTTGTGGATTTATATTGGTTTTTCCATTATATATGATCATGATTAATGTAAAGGTATTTTATGTTATTTATTTAAATAGGGTGATCAATCTATTTCTGTGAAATCTGTTGTTTTAATGTTGGCATTCCAGCTTTGCGTTGGATGATTTACATACTATCGTTGTTTTTTAGTCTTGATTTATCTAAGCTGATAAAAATTACTGCTTTTTTTATAAATAAAAAAATTAACCCAGTTATATCAGCTAAAAATGTATACTATATATTTTATCTTGAGATTATCGGGTATCTTTCTATCCCTAAGGATTCTTTGAGATGAAATAATATCCCAAAACAATGTCATTGTGTACTCTAGATAATTAATGCTAAAAATATACTTTTTTAAGCATGGCTTCCCCTCTATTTTATGTGGATAGGTAATTTTATCAAATACAAACCACTCGCGCACTTTTATCATAATTGGAGGGGTGAAAATAATATAAAAATTCTTTAATATCACGCAGACATAATACGGGCGTTTTAACGAAGATTGACGGATCCAGGAATGGTTAAGATTTTGCATTATGAGAAAATTTACAGATGTAATTTATTTAAGTTAATAATAAAACGATTTTTTACAATTTTTTCAATTCAATTTTTGAATGGTGCGTTTTTATTTACAAAAAAGTTCCTCATTAAAATTTGAAAATCTTTGCTGTCGCTATGTACACCCTGATTTACCAATTTTCATTGACTCCATTTAAAAATAGACGTTTGAAATAATAAATAAAAAATAAAAATTGCGGGTTTATCAAAAGTTTTTGTAAAAAAATAAGTTAAAAAATTGTGACTACCATAACCCACAAATTTACCATACCCAAAAACTAACCTTGAAATCGACATTTGACAGTTTGACAGCCCTGATAAGGTTTTTTTTACAAAAGAGGAGTAAAATGGTTGCCTCTTTTAAGGCTTACAAGAGCCTCTGTAAGAAACACAACTTTTAAAACGAGTCAAAGGAAAACGATTAACTGTATAAACAGCACAAACCCGAACAACCCAAAACAACATAAAAATGGCCACCATTAGAGTATGTGCAGTGGGTTGCCTAACTTCGTTATTTTCAGTATGCACAAAACGAGATAGAATTTTTGAGATTTAAAGAAGTGTTGACAAATGCCAAAAAATAGTTAATTTAAATATTATACAGAATAGCTCAAACCTATTTCATATTTCCCAATAGATATTTTATTAAGAAACATATATTTCGTTTTAAAAACAATTTCTTTTTTACTCCTATTCACTAATATTAAAATTATTTTTTATAAACCCAATGGAAATAATGAACTCTATAATCAGTGATTGGCCGATTTCATTATTCACTGTGATTTGAACCAATTAAGTTTAAATTGGAAGAAACTGAGGTTATGTCTGTCTGACAGAATCGCAGTCACCATATTTACACAATAGTGACAGTTTCACATTGAGGTGTATCAGCTAGAGATGTGCGATAGTCAAAAATTCGTCTATCGATATTTTCGATATGATAGTTTTTGTGCTATCGATACTATCGATATTACTCTAGACAGCACGGAAAAAGTTGTTTGAAGTTGAAATAAGTAAAATATATATTTAAAACAGAATATAAAAATGTATTTAAAACAACAAATCGTTGATTGAAGTTACACCTTAATCAATGGAAAAAACATTATGGAATAAATTGGCAAGAAATTGATTTCCTAGAATATTACAAAAAATACTAACTGACAATAAATTGTTTTCTGCATTTTCTAAAGTTGCAGTTTGTTAAACGCCTGAAAAAACAGGACAACCTAGTATTTAAATAAATCTTTATCTTGTTTTATCCTCTTATTCTTTTTGGAGTAGGTAATGTTTTCAGAACGCACCATTGTTTTTTTCTAAACTCATTTAAATTTAATTAATAAAGAATGTTAGTTACTAACCACATTTACTTTGTTATTTTTTTACATTATTCTTATAATAAACAATAAAAATGCATTTTTTTCCAAAATTGGCCAGATCCATATTTTTACTGCAAAATCGGCCGCATCCATACTTCAATTTTTAGATTTTTGCTTAAAGTAATATCTCATTAAAGGTACTATATCAAAATAATTAAAAAAGAAAAAAATAAGAGTGGCAATATTCTTCTCGATTTTGTAAATTATCTTAAAATGGACGCAGCCGGTGCGCCTCAAATGATTTAACTAGTTTTACACTATTTTCAAAAAAAATGTAGGTTTGAGGCTTTTTTAGAATCAGAGAGTACGAAACACATTCAAAGGCTTTTCAACAAGATGAAGCTCCCCCTTACCAGTCAGAGAATGGTGGAACCAAAAGTTTCCCGAGAAATGGATTTATAGAAGATGTGGTTAAGAATGGCCGGCAAGATCTCCAGATTTAACGCCACTTGATTTTTCCATTGGGATCATTAAAAAACACAAGTCTACAAAACACCACCTGAGAACATTTAAGAACTCAAACAAGAAATAGTTCAAGAATGAAATGAAAATTGACTAGTGTATGAGAACAGATTGTATTATTGTTTAGCAAATAACGGAGCACATCGAATTTTCTTCATATGTGTTGTAATACTATCGACAAACATTGCAAGCATGAGAATGCAATTTATTTAAAATCTCAATAAAATTATTGGCAATGTCATTTCAGATGTTGTCCGCCTCTGCGTCGGTAACACGTGTAGCATGAAAATGACGAAAAAAACGATATTTATTGTTGCTTGTAATAATTATTGACTAATGGAGTCCATAAATAAAACGAAATAAATTAATCTCCTACCACACAAGATGTATTGATACGGTCTCGTCTGCGTCCAACCATTTCAACTGGCGCGCCGTTGCAACGCGTTGCTTGGCAATTATAATTCAAAAAGTCCATGATTAATACTAGTGCGAAATGAATAATTTATCTTTCGATGGAATTTAAGAAATTATTGAAAACAATTATATTTAAATTATTTATCCAATATAAACTACGGCAAAGTGGCGGATTTGCAGGTAAGGCAATACAGGCGACGCACAGTGGTCCAAAACCCCTGAAAAAATCGGTATAAACCCCCAAATGGCGAAATATCTGCATGACACCCACGTTTTAGGGTATAGAATCCAAATTTAAAATAAGTTTTTGTGTAAACATATCGCCACATACAGATTAAGTTGTTGTTTTTTTTATATTTTTAAGCTATATTTTTCGAAAGAAATATGTTTCTGCAGTGACCACTATAGTGCTTATAAGCATTGTGTCCAAAAACTCAGGTATACTATTTTTTTTAATTTTTTAAATAGGATCCCCAGTAGCACAAAATATTGGTCCTATATGGGGCGCGTCTATGCTCAATATTTTATCTGGGGCCAATATTGAATTTATTAAGCAGATGGCTTTATATTGGCATAAAATAATAATTAAATATATCATTCCAATGGTCATACAAGGTTGGTCGTATATATCATTTTACGCCAATATATCATTAAAAATGTTTGTCCAAGGTTGGCCCTATATTGCCGTAAAATAATTATCCAATATATCATTGAAAATGGTTGCCTAAGGTTACCCTAATTTTAGCCCTATATTATCATAAAATAATTTTCCAATATATCATTGTCAATGTTTGTCCAAAGTTGGCCCTATATTGGCATTAAACGATAATTCAATATATAATTAGCAATGTTTATACAAGCTTGGCTTTATATTGGCGTAAATTGGTTATTCAATATTTTATTACTAATTTTTATTCAAGGTTGATCCTATATTGGCGAAAAATGTTTATCCAATATATTTTTGCCCATCCCAGCAAGCACAAACATCCTCAGGACGTCCTTGGACCAGCCTTATGTCCCAGACTGAGATGGTCCTATAAGGACGTCCAGAGGACACACACTTGATAACTATATATACCGATAGGTTACAAATATCACTTGGAGATGAGCGTCTGTGATGACACAGCTAAACAATGATTAGAGTGGGGCTGATCTGCTAAGTAACAAGTAATGGCTAAGTTAATCGAGTAAGTTTGAGTGCAGAGGATTTCTTCAAGATTTACATAACCCAAGAACAAACAACTTCGGGCCAATATTGGGACGAAAGATATTTTGGCCCAATATCATCAAACGAATATTGGGCCAATGTGGATTTTTAATATCTGTTATATAATGTAAAACAAATTCGGGCCAATGCGGATTTCCAATATCGGTTATATAAGTTTCATGGTTTCATCTATGCATGGTTAAATGTAAGAATGAGTTGTAACTTTAAATGTTACAAGTCAAATTTCGCCATTTGAGATTGTATATGTATTTTCTCAATAAAGACGTTTATTATTATTATTATTATTATTATTATTATAATGTCAAACAACTTCGGTCCAATGGTGGGTTTTAATATTGGACCATGCTAGAAAAAATCTGACGAAAGATATTTGGCCCAATATCATCAAACGAATATTGGGCCAATATCTTTGTCCTACTGGGGATGAGAACCAAAGAGAAAAAAATTAAGTCGTTAATTTATTTTGTCGCCTTAAAAGTTTTTAAATTTGATTTTCAATGTTTAAAAATCGCTAAAAATTATATAGAAATTGCTTAATATTCAGAAAATTGTAAGAGCCCCCGCCGAACGCGACTTGGTTAAATTTTTGTATACATTTATTTAATAAAAAAAAATAAAATTCCCGAATTTCGGCCGTAAAACTAACCTTCAGGCGGATACTACTATCTAACAAATTTTTTCGAAGTTTTTTTTTGGTCCTATTTTGTCCCTTTACTGAAAATCAAAATTTGGAAAAAAACTTGCTATATAAAATTTGGTTCCATAAAAATGGTCGAATCCGTTAAAAACTTTTTTAAAAAGAATTTAGACTAACAAAAAACACGATTAAAGGGTAAAAGAATGAAGTTGAATGTTACACCCAAACTGCTAGGAATAATAAATCGGACAATAAGTAACCTGGCATTTACTAACTTTTTGTTTTACTTTTTCTCATACGGTTTCCTTTGAAATGCTGTAGAT